AAAATTTGCAAAAGATAAATTTATTTTCTTTTCATAGAACTTTAAAAATTTTTTCAGAATTTTTAAATCAACTTTTTGAGTACTGCATTTTCTTATCTTTACCGCCATGAGAAAATACGATATTAAAAATTTTTTTTTAAATTTTGAAAAAATTATCAGAATGACTTTATAAGAAGAAAATAAACCATTTTTATTTCTTGCTATTTTTCTATAAAGTTGATAGTATTTGAATAAAAAATTATTGAAAACCAATATTTAGCGATTTTTAATAATTAATATCTCGTTAACTATTGCGAAAATCGCAAAATAGTAGAGGACTTTTCGATTCAGCCCGCTCTATCTATTCAGGATGGATGGTAACGTATTTTAATGACACCCTATATGACGAAAGTTTTCTTAAAATTCCTTATACATATTAATGTTTTAGAATTTCTGTGTAATTTTATAACTTTTCAAAAATTTCTCCAATTTTTTATACAAATTGGAACATTTTTTAGAAAGACTGAGAAAGTTTGCATCTTTTCTAGAATTTTTTTATATATGTATGCCAATTATATACATATATAACATTCTACAATTTTTGAAGAAAATTTATAAAATCTGAAAAAATTTAAGATATTTTTTCGAAATCTTTATAATACGAAAAGTTCTTACAAATATATTTTGAGAATTTTTTTATCAAGGTGTATGTATAGATATATACACAACAAAGTGTTCAGTAAAGGCGAACACGTTTAAGGGTATAGTTTCCTGAAGTCATTTTGAGATGAAAAGTTTCAATATCAAAATATCGAGGCTATAATTTGTTGAATTATAAACATTTAAAATTAGCGAATTGTATTGCTTAATTTGCGCGTTTAGTTATAATTCGTTTTGCATTGTATTCCCAGTAAAAAAATTTTTTACATAAATATGTATAAATATGTATAAACATACATAAATATTCATAAACATGTATAATCATATATGAAATATGTTCATACATGTTCATATATCTCTCTTTTGTAAAATTACTTTTTAATGTAATAGAAATAATAATAGTAACGTGAAAATATTAAAAATTTCAGTATAATTCATAATGAAATATGAGTCAATTGATAGAGATTTCAGCAAGTTTCAGCAATTTCAACAATTTATTTCCATCAGGGTTACTATTATGTAAAACTCAGATCAATACATTAAACGAGCTATAGTTAGGTGTACTAAATAATATTTATTAATCACACATAATTTTCCGACGATAAGTTTCAATGACACGTTTCGACTATACTTAACTCTCATCAGACGCAGAAATATAATAAATACTCAAATATCCAATTATATTAACATATAAATTATATAAAAATATAAAGCTTGACTCATCTAGGCATTCGGTTATAACGGAATATATACTACAATACAATCATAATTTTGATTGGAAGAATGTTAGAATAATGGATACGGAATCAAATTATAATAAAAGACTCATTTCGAAAATACTACATATAAAAGAACTGTTAAGTGGTACAAATTTTAAAAAAGACACCGAATCTCTAGATGAATTATACAATATATTTATTTGTTAAATTTAATTTCTAATAATAACAAAAACGACAGCGCTTAGTTTTTTTTGTCGTTTGACTTTTTGACATATATATGATATTATTTGAGAGTTTATACTCTCTCACAGTTAAGATCAGTCTTTCATCAGTGAACATAACCGATTCTAAATTCTATATTACATTTTTAATAGACTGCTGCTAATTTACCATTATATATAATTTGTATTTGCCTTCATATTAAGTGTTACACAATCTTTATTCTTTATTCGTTGATAATTATTTAATTTTGTTAATTGACATTATAAATTTAAAGCGTTTATTATTTATATTTCGTGTTGTGCTTTTGTTCAAATGAAATTTTTATATATACACGTATTATATATACATAAAGTTATAATTTATTATCGTTTTTACCATATATTTATCATATATTTTTAAAGATAGTTTTTAAATTACAAAAATTACTGTTTTTTAATTTTTTTATAGTATATCAATTTTGACGATAATTTATTTAATTTAATTTATCTACCAATATTATTAAGGACGCACATACAACTATTTATATGATCTGACAATAAGCTACGTTAATACGACTAGAATTTATTCTTTTATTCATACTAATTGCCCCTTCTCACTATTAATCGATGAATTGGTTCGGAATCATGACTCTTCACTACATCGTTTATTATTTATCAAATTTGATTACATATGATATGATTGTGATATACTATCCTTTGTAACACGAAGGTGAGATGATTCTTAGAAATCTGTTATATTATCTATTGCAACTCGAATGTGAGATGATCTTCATAATATGTTAATATAATTAGATATTTGGATATTTATGTATTTCTGTGGCTGATGAAGATTAAGTATAATCGAAATGTACCATTGAAACTTATCATCGAAAAATTATAATTTGTGATATTATTTAGTACTTAACTATAGCTCGTTTAATGTGTTGACCTGGCTTTTACTATTTATTAATTTGTTGTAAATTATACGAGCGAAAAGAATTGATACTATTTGTATTTGTATTGTAATATTACTATTATGTGTATTTCAATATTTATTGTTTGTACCAAAAATTTACAGTATATATATATATATATATACATATATATATATATATATGTAATG